TCCAAGTCTTGATCTCAGCTCAGGTCTTCATCTCAGGGTTGTGAGTTCAAGCCCCGCATTGGGCTCCATGCTGGATGTGGAGCCTACTTTGAAAAATTAAAAATAAGTAACTAAATAAGATTTTATTTTTAAGTAATCTCTGCACTCAATGTGGGTCCCAAACCTATAACCCCGAGATCAAAAGTTGCACACTCCACGGACTGAGAGCCAGCCAGGGTTCTTACTAGGTTTGGAATTAATCCCCTTTTTTTAATGTTGTTTTGATGATGTTTATATGTGAGTTAATGTTTATGTAGAAGATCAAGGCAGGCCTGGGATGGCCTGGGATGTAGTCTCTGCTGGGCCTGAGATGCAAGGTAGGGTTGTGCAATGGAAACAGACACTGAGTGACATGGCAAAAGGCAGGCACCCATTCACAGATAAGTGGGATGCATGGCAGGCATGAATTTTTCCCATGTCCAAGTGGTATAGCAGTAAGTTAACTGGTGTTCCTAATTTTCTTTCTCCTGGGACCGTAATTACTCCTACACTAAGGTGGGAATGTTAGGGTGTGCAGGGGCAAGTGGCAGGTAGACATATCTTTGAAGAGAATAACCCGATTTAAAACATTTTGTAATATTATTTTCTAGTAGATATATTAATATTTTTTCTGGGGTACTTTTTTCCTATTACATCATGATGTGAAATATTTATGCTATGTCATCATTTTTAGGCCTTAATAATGATATCAAATAAAACTTACTTTTTCTTGGCTTATTACCTGGCCACCTCTCCCTTATTTCTTATAACATGGAAGATCTTAACATAGGTAACAGAACCAGGGTGACATTAGCTGATGCTCTCTGTCCCCCTTTGATGCCTCCCAGGAATGCCAGTGGCCTGGGGGACAGAGATGCCTGGACTTGAGCTGTGGAGAGAGGAAACTTCAAGCGGGAGGCGTCTCCAGGTACTGGGGCCAATCCACAGTTGATTAATGCCTGTATAGTTATCAGGAGCTAACTGACTAAACTAACATTGATTGCCCATACTTAAATTTATACTTTTTTTTTTTTTACAAGATAAAGTATGTACATAGATAATCTAGTAACTGTGGCATTTTGTGCAGTTTACACGTAGGAAAGCTTACAAATCCTGAGTTTGATGAATTTTCATAAAGTTGAGCATACCATTTCACTA